ATGTTACGCTGCATGGTGGGATATGTCAAACTCGACACAGATGATTGGCCAGACATGTACAGAAGGCTGAAGGTAAGACTCGAAGCAGCACAAGCTCGCAAGCCCATCCGGCAATGGGCCACGGAGCTCACCAAAAGCAAAGCCCGGTTGCAGGAAAAGCTTCATCATCTGAGCCCAAACACGTTGCTGAGTCTAGTCGCGGCCTGGAATCCAGGCGGCATTATCGACGCAAAGCTGCCTACCCAGCCGAAGCGCTACAGGGGCAGGCCACGAACGACGTGGGACAGATTTGCAGTTTGACTCCCCCCCCCCTTCCTCCCCTCCTTTTTTCCATGCCCAATCATGAATGCATCGGCAGCAGAGAGTTGTAATTGTTTCACTCCGCGTCCGGTATCGGACCGGGCTTCGTGCTCGTACGGGACCTTGACCTTGACCTTGACCTTGCAGTGGAAAGCGCCCCGGGCGGTTCCCCCAGTATCCGCCCCGCGGTTCCCCCAGCTACGTCCCCTTAGCTTAGCGTTGCTTATCTCATCTTAGCTTAGCTTACTTCATCTTAGTTTAGCTTAGCTTCATCTTAGCTCACGCTTATCTTAGCTTAGCTTACCTTCATTAGCGTGGATGTAGTTCCCTACCTAGGCTCTGCCTAGAGGGTTAGCTTAGCTTAGCTTAGCATAGCGCAGCGCTGCATTACCATAGCATAGCATGGCATAGCATAATATAACCAAGCATAGCATAGCATAGCATATCATAGCGCAGCTTAGAATAGCATAGCATAACATCGCATAGCATAGCATAGCATAGCATAGCATAGCGCAGCTTAGCATAGCATATCATAGCATAGCATAGCACAGCGCAGCATGCCATAGCATAGCTTAGCTTAGCATAGCATAGCATAGCATAGCATAGCATAGCATAGCGCAGCATAGCGTAGCATAGCGTAGCATAGCATAGCATAGCGCAGCATAGAATGGCATAGCATGGCATAGCATAGCATAGCATAGCAACTAATGCTGCTTTTCTAGGGACTCCAACTTCTAGGTAGGGTCGCACTGGGGTAATTATTCCCTACCTAGGCTCTGCCTAGAAGGGTTCTTACTCTCTGGGCTTAAGGGGCCGGGCAGTGGAAAGCGCCCCGGGCGGTTCCCCCAGTATCCGCCCCGCGGTTCCCGCAGTTACGCCCCCTTAGCTTAGCGTTGCTTATCTCATCTTAGCTTAGCTTGTTTCATCTTAGTTTAGCTTAGGCTCTGCCTATCTAGGCTCTGCCTAGAGGGCTAGCTTAGCTTAGTTTAGCTTAGCTTAGCTTAGCATAGCGCAGCGCTGCATTAGCATAGCATAGCATAGCATAACATAGCCAAACATATCATGGCATAGCGAAGCATAGCGCAGCATAGCGCAGCATAGGATCGCATAGCATAGCATAGCATAGCATAGCATAGCGCAGTTTAGAATATCATTACATAGCATAGCATAGCTTAGCATAGCACAGCGCAGCATGACATAGCATAGCATAGCATAGCATAGCATAGCATAGCATATCATGGCATGGCATAGCATAGCATAGCATAGCATAGCGCAGCGCAACATAACATGGCATAGCATGGCATAACATAGCATAGCAACTAATGCTGCTTTCCTAGGGGCTCCAACTTCTAGGTAGGGTCGCACTGGGGAAATTATTCCTCTTCCTCCTCCTCCTCCTCCTCCTCCTCCTCCTCCTCTTCCTCCTCCTCCTCCTCCTCCTCCTCCTCCTCCTCCTCCTCCTTCCTCCCTCCTCCCCCTCCTCCTCCTCCTCCTCCCCTCCTCCTCCCTCCTCCTCCTCCTCCCTCCTCCCCCCCTCCCCTCCCCCTCCCCCCCCCCCCCCCCCTCCTCCCCCTCCTCAGCCCTCCCCCCCGTCCTTTCCTGGCGGGCGGCGCTCCTGCTCAGGAACGCCACGTCCTCGCGGAGGCGGCTGAACTCCTCGGGCGTCAGCCTGCGGCTGTTTGGCGCCGCGGGGGCGCACGGGCTCGGCGCCCCGCGGTGGAGCCCCGAGGCATCGGGGTTCGAGGGGTCGCGGGATCGGATTCTGGACGAGGCTTGCCCTCGCGGACCCTCCAGAGCTCCTCCTCCTCCTCCTCCTCCTCCTCCTTCTCCTCCTCCTCCTGATCATCAACATCATCATCAGCATCAGTATCATCGTCAGCATCATCATCATCATCATCATCATCATCATCATCATCATCATCATCATCATCATCATCATCATCATCAGCATCATCATCATCAGCAGCAACAACATCAGCATCATCATCATCATCAGCATCAGCATCATCACACTCATCCCCATCATCATGATAATCATCAGCATCATCAGCATCACCATCATCCTCATCATCATCATCGACAGCATCATCAGCATCATCATCGTCATCAGCATCAGCACCATTACCACGAGCATAAGCATCATCCGCATCAGCAGCATCATCATCATCATCATCATTGTCAGCATCATCATCATCATGAACATCATCACCACCATCATCATCATCATCATCATCATCATCATCATCATCATCATCATCATCATCATCATCATTAGCAGCATCCTCACCGTGGTCAGCATCATCAGCAGCATCATCAGCAGCATCAGCATCAGTATCATCATCATCATCATCATCATCATCATCAGCATCATCATCATCATCATCATCATCATCAGCATCATCATCATCACAATCATCGTCATCCTCAGCAGCATCATCCTCATCATCATCAGCATCAGCAGCATCATCAGCAGCCTCATCCTCATCATCATCATCATCATCATCATCATCATCATCAGCAACATCATCATCATCACTAGCATCAGCATCGTCAGTATCATCATCATCATCCTCACCATCCTCATCAGCATCATCATCATCATCATCATCATCATCATCATCATCATCGTCAGCATCATCATCGTCAGCATCCGCATCATCGTCATCATCAGCATCATCATCAGCATCATCACCGTCGGCATCATCATCATCATCATCATCATCATCATCAGCATCAGCATCATCGTCATCGTCATCAGCATCATCATCATAATCAGCATTATCAGCATCATGATCATCAGCAGCATAATTAGCATCAGCAGCATCATCAGCAGCATCAGCATCATCATCATCATCAGCACCATCATCGTCAGCATCACCAGCATCATCAGCATCATCATCATCGTCATCAGCATCATCATGATTAGCATCGTCAGCATCATCATCATCAGCAGCATCATCATCAGCCTCATCCTCATCATCATCAGCAGCATCAGCACCAACGTCATCACCATCAGCAGCATCGTCATCATCATCAGCATCATCATACTCATAAGCATCATCATCATTAACAGCAATATCCTTGTTATCATCATCATCACCATATTCAGCATCATCATCAGCATAAGCAGCAGCATCATCATCAGCATCATCATCACTAGCATCATCATCAGCAGCGTTATCAGCATCTTCATCATCCTCCTGCTGATCAGCATCATCATCAGCATCAGCATCATCAGCATCAGAATCAGCAGCAGCAGCAGCGGATTCATCATCGTCATCACCATCATCATCAGCTTCAGCATCAGCATCATCATTATCACTATCAGCCGCAACATCATCATCATCATCATCATCATCATCATCATCATCATCATCAGTGTCACCATTACCATCATCATCAACATCATCATCAGCATCATCAGAATCATCATGACCGCCATCATCATCACCATCAGCAGCAGCATCACCATCAGCATCATCAGCATCGTCATCATCAGCATAATCAGCATCATCAGCAGCATCATCATTGTCCTTATCAGTACCACCGTCATCACCACCACCACCACCACCATCATCATCATCATCATCAGCATCACCATCGTCCTCACGAACAACCCTCCCCCTGTCGCATCGCCAGACGTCTCGGTAGGCCAGGCCTGGCGATTCGCTGAAGACGTCCTGACAATCTGCAACCCAAAGCCCCAGACATTTAAAAGGATGAAGGGCCAGTGGCTTTCAAAATGCGGCTGTCGCCATCATGTCATGCCACCATCGGCTTCCTTTGAGCATCCGACAGTTTCAAGAGTGCAGGGCCAGCCGTTTTCAAAATGCGGTTCTGGCCGTAGCGCCGCGAAAAATTGTTGTTTTACAAACTCTCAGCAACTACAAGGATGAAGGGCCAGTAATTCTCAGAATTGACTCCGTGGAATCAAAAAAAAAAAAAAAAAAAAACGATACCGCTACTCCCCGAACCTCTCCTGGGGTGCGTTCTGACCACCAGAATTTCTAGGCGAATCCACCGGTGATCACGAAGACCTCCCAGGAGGCCCAAAAAGGCGAAAACGAAGCAGCATATGCAGCTGCGAGTATCGCAGGATATGCCCCTCTCATCAGAAGTAGCGCGCCGCGAGAGGAATGGAGCACGGGACAACGCAGATGGGAGCCCCGAAACGTGCGTGGGGTGTGCCGAAATGAGCGGGGGACGCATGCGGGTGCTGCCGCGGGGGCCTTCGTTCAGAGCTCCCTGTGAGGCCGCGATCCTCGTGAGGGGTGTGCCGAAATCGCCCGAGGCCGCCCTGCGAAGCCTGCCACGGGGGCCTTCGGTGGAGCTCCCTGCGGGGCCACGCTCCTCGTGGCAGGGTGTGCCGAGATCGCCCGGATGCCGCCGCGGGCCTGGGCGTGCCCCCTCCCCTGCCGGCCCACCGCCCCCCTCCAGAGAGCCGCCGGGGGAGCGGCACGCCGGAGGACGCCCTGCGACGCGCCCGCCCCCGGCCCTGGCCAAGCCCACCCCTCTGGCCCAGGGGCGGTGCGCAGGCCCTCGTGGCCCGGGCAGAGGACACATGGCACGGATCCGGGGCCCGGGGGTCACTGGCTCTGGCGAAATGGGAACTTGAGCCGACACATGTGCGGCCCCTTCTCGCTGCTACAATGGCTCATCGGTGTTGAGTGTTCCACGCATATGTTCATATTTCTATATCTTTATGGGGGGTCCGCCCTAAACTGGAGACCCCCCAGGCACGCCCCGGACGTCTGGCCAGGATCGGCTTGCAGGTGCATAGCTTGTGCCCTCGGACACTTTCGGAGGGGGGACTGGCTACCCACCAGACCACCCCCAACCCGACCCGAAGACCCGACTTTCGGGTTGGGGGGGTACGGGCTTCGTATGTGCGTTTGGATCTTCCCCGACCCCCCCCCCACTGGAAATGGAGGGCAAATCGGGACCTTCGGGTTGGGCTGGGGTGGTTTGGTGGGCGGTGGGGGACGAGCTCAGGGATGGCCAAACCGCACGCGCCCAGGTGGAGCACGAGAGAAGCCCGATCATTGGCGCCGCATTGGGCGATCGGGAGTCGATGTTCCCACTCCCCGCCCCCCCACCTTGGGCCAGCCCCCCCGCTGTCGCTGCTCCTGAGATCATTCGTCCCCTTACCCTTGCTCGTGCTCGTCTGGCTTTCGGGCCAAAAACCGAAGAGCCTCCAGCGGCCATCTGGGACAGCTCGGGCACCCCCGGCACGCTCTCGACGAGGCGCAGCTGCTAAAAAGCATGCCGCTGGAACACCACCGAGCTCCCTCCTCCCCCTCCTCCTCCTCCCTCCTCCTCCTCATCCTCCTCCTCTCCTCCTCCTCCTCCTCCTCCTCCTCCTCCTCTACTACTACTAACTACTACTACTACTACTACTACTACTACTACTACTACTACTACTACGACTACTACTACTACTACTACTACTACTACCACCACCACCACCACCACCACCACCACCACCACCACCACCAATACGACTACCACCACCACCACCACCACCACCACCACCACCACCACCACCACTACTACTACTCCTACTCCTACTCCTACTTCTACTCCTAATCCTGCTCCTCATACTCCTCCTCCTCCTCCTCTCCTCCTCCTCCTCCTCCTCCTCCTCCTCCTCCTCCCTCCTCCTCCTCCTCCTCCTCTCCTCCTCCTCTCCTCCTCCTCCTCTCCTCCTCCTCTCTCCTCCTCCTCCTCCTCCTCCTCCTCCTCCCTCCTCCGCTCCTCCTCCTCTCCTCCTCTCCTCCTCCTCCTCCTCCTCCTCCCCTCCTCTCATCCACCACCACCACACCATCATCATCATCTCATCATATCATCATCATCATCCATCATCATCATCATCATCATCCATCATCATCATCATCACACCACACCACCACCACCATCATCATCATCATCATCATCATCACCATCATCATCATCATCATCACCATCACCACCATCATCATCATCATCATTCATCATCATCATCATCACATCATCATCATCATCATCATCATCATCATCATCATCATCATCATCATCACATCATCATCATCATCATCATCATCATCATCATCATCATCATCATCATCATCATCATCATCATCCTCATCCTCATCCTCATCCTCATCCTCATCCTCATCCTCATCCTCATCCTCATCATCATCCTCTTCATCATCCTCCTCCTCCTTCTCTCCTCGTCCTCCTCCTTGGGCTCCTCCTCCTCCTCCTCCTCCTCCTCCTCCTCCTCCTCCTCCTCCTCCTTCTCCTCCCTATGCCCGTTCTGACACGTTTTCCACGGGGCTCCGGCCGTGGCAACGAGAAGTCCACGCGGACCTCCGAAAGGTTACGTGAATTCCCCCAAGCAGTGCTTGAACTTAGGGGGTCTCACGTGTCTAACCAAGGAATTGGGTTGGTAACTCGGGGAGTCGTGTCAGTGGCCGACCCCCGTGGCCACCCGTGGCCGCCCCGTGGCAGCCCAGCGTAGCTTGCATCACACACCCATGCCGCATAGCTCACACCGCCACAGTGCGATAACGTGTTGCTTGGGGTCCACGCTAGATACCAGGATGTCGTCGGATCTCCATCGACGGAAACAGAGGCCTCCTAGTTGGTGGCCCAGCAGAAGGGGGCCGGAGGATCGCGCCGCATCGCCGATGCATCGTCGACGCATAGCCGATACATCGCCGATGCATCACCGATGCATCGGCGACGTGTGAGATGCATCGGCGACGTCGAAGTGGAGAAGATCAGGCTCCACATCGAGCCGCATCGCAGATGCATCGGCGATGCGGCGCGATCCTCCGACCCCATCTACTCGGACACCATCTGGGAGGCCTGGACTCCAAGGCCCCGAGCACTCCTCTGGCTTCTGGGTCATGACTCACGCCGCCGGTGGCCGTTCGGAACGACCTGGGCACCCCCAGGGCGCCCTCGGCGAGGCGCAGCTGCTGGAGAGCAGCCCGAGGCTGGAACGCCGCCAGGCACCGACGGCAGCGCCCGAAATCCGCCGAGAACCCGCGGGAGCCCCATGCCCAGACATCCGGACGCTCCAACTTTTTTGATTCGTGGGCCCTGGAGGTCTGGACCACTTCTCCGGGGCCGGTTTTTCGTCCTGAGTCGTTGTTTGACGCCCCCAGGGCCCAGCGAGGGCCCCCGAGGCCGAAAACTGCCAAAATCTTGCCGCTCCAATTCTTCTGGAGCGTCGGGTCTCTGGGTACTGAGACCCCCTCTGGGAGGCTTCGACCAAGAGCTCGGAGCCCCCCGCCGGGGGCCTCGGGTGCAGCCGCCGCATGGCCGCCGGCACGGCGGCGAGGGCGTGCAGCTGCGGAGCAGAGCGGAGCCTCACGGCGCTCTCGGGGGGGGGGGGGGAAGGTCTGCGGGGGAAGGCCCCTCGCCGAAGGCGGCGGCCCCGCAAGCGCACGGGTGGCATTTGAACTGACCACCCCCGCTGCCCCGGGAGAGCCCGCCACGAAGGTGCTGGTGGTCTTTTCCTGGAAGTTCCCGGGGCCGTGGCGTAAGGGAGAGACGAGCAGGAGGAGGAGGAGGAGGAGGAGGAGGAGGAAGAGGAGGAGATACTCAACAGGAGAAGGAGAAGGAGGATGAAGGAGGAGGAGGAGGAGGAGGAGGAGGAGGAGGAGGAGATGGGGGAGGAGGAGGAGGAGGAGGAGGAGGAGGAGGAGGAGGAGGAGGAGGAGGGAGGAGGAGGAGGAGGAGGAGGAGGAGGGAGGAGCTGGGAGAACGGAGGACGGAGAAGGGAGGAGGATGGATGGATGGAAGCGCCCCAAACTGGGCTGGCATGTTGAAGCCTCGGGCCAGCCTCGGCAGCGAGGGGATCACGGAGCCTGAGCTGGCAACCGACGGGAGGGGATGGGCGAGGGGGGAGCAGGGGGAGGAGAAGGATGAGGGGGAAGAGGAGAAAACGGAAGTTGGAGGAGGAAAAGAAGGGAGGACGAGCAGGAGGAGGAAGAGGAGGAAGAGGAGGAGGAGGAGGAGGAGGAGGAGCCTCGGGACGCAGTGTCCCTCCCTACGCCTACGAGGAGGTCCCTCCCCATGCAGCCCCAGACGCGGGCCCCGACGTCCCGCCTGCGAAGATTCTGGGCCGCCAAAACAGCCTTCGAAACACCTTGGGGGGCAGGGGTGGAAGCCTCGGGAGATGCGCGCAAGGTTCTCCTTCCCCTTGCGCGATGGTTGGCACGGCTGGCATAAGTGCCTGCCGCCATTCGAGGCCATCTTGCCGCAGACGGAACAGAAAAACACAGAAAACTCAGGCCACGACTGTAAACAGTGCGAGCTCTGCGCCTACACGCCGCCCACGAAGATCGGACCCTGGGCCGCCGAGACACCCCTCAGGAAAGCAAGACCTCCCCCCGGGAGCGGGGGAGGATGGGGGGCACAAACAGCGCCAGCGGCATCCAGGGCCTGGGCGGACAAAACGAGTTTGCAACAATACTTGCAGAGCCAGCGTCCCTGGCCTTCTCCCAAAAATGCTGGCTCCGACTCAGCGCAATCTGGAGACGAGTCCGGGTCGGCGGACTGGTGCGCTCGACGTTTTCTGCATCCGAATCCCAAGGGGTTTAGGAAATCGCGTTCGTGGGCGCCCGACACGCCCGACGCCTCACCAGGGCAGCGATAGCATCCCGCTCGTCGGCCCGAGGCTCACTGCCGACGATGCATCGAAACGCCCTGCGGGCCGCGTCCCCAGCCCCCTCATCAGCACACACGTTGCCCACGGCTGGTCGAAGCCCCCCTTGAGGGCGACCGCTGACTTGTAGATGTCGAACTTGACCACCCGGCGGGCCCCGACAGCCCTGAGCGCAGCGTCGTCGACGAACGCCCACAGCTGGGCCCGCTCGCAAGCGCGGCGCGCCCGAGCGATCACGGGCCCGTGGAGCACCTTGGCCAGCTTGCCTCCATGGCAAGACCCCGCCACCACGGACTGTTCGGCTTGGAACCGACGTCCGAGCCAGGCGCGTTGACGGAGGTGGCGGGGGCCTGCGAACAGCTGCACCTCCATGGCCACGACGATGGCAGGAAAACCCTGCTGCGCAGCTGCGGCCAGCATGCGGACGAGGAAGATCGAGTCGTACAACTTCCCGATATATAGAGGAGGAGGGTGGCCGTGGTCCAGCCGTTCTCGACGTCGCACTCGTCCATGCATGAGCGGCATGCCCCAGCGCGAAGGGCAGACGACCCTGGGGTGGCCGTGCCCCACCACTCGGCCTGCGAGTCGCTCCACTCGTCCGTCGCCGCTGCTCGGATCTTCGACCGCAGCATGCAAGTCGTGGGAAGCATACCGATGATCCTATCTCCTCCAGGTCGCTTGGGACTGGCGCAGCCGATCACCGCCGAGACCTGCCACGGCCATGCACCCTCCGCCTCGCAGGAGTTGAGGGGCGCCGCCAGGTCCTCAGCCCCCTGATCGGGCACGCGCTGGATGTCCGAGGGGCCCGGGCCGGGGTTGTCGACGACGCGCGCCCAGCCCGAGCTCATGCGGCGCAGGCCGTCGCGGACCTGGTCGCAGCTGATGGGCCCCAGGTCCTCCTGCTGCGCGCGGCGCAGGGCCCCGTTGAGCGCGGCCGCGAACCCCCCGGTCGAAGGTCGGGCCCTTCCACGCGCGCCCCCATTGCGACGCATCCTGCTCCATGATGGCGTCGGGGTGGGCGATCGACTGCGACGCGACGTCGCCGTCGGCATCCACCAATGCAATGGGTCTCCAGCTGCTCGACGTCGGTCACCCTGACACGACGATAGACAATCCCAGGCTTCTGCTTCCAGGATTCGTAGGCCCACCGCACGCAGCCGTTCCGAGCCTGCTGGAGGCGCCGACCCACCATCCTGAGACACCATCTGTCGGCGACCGCCGACAGCAGCTCGACGTCCTCGAGGCATGGCGATGCCTGCTGCAAGAAGATGCTGGCGCGCACGCGCCACTCGTTGGCCTCCTGCGCGAAGCACTGTTCTCCGCTTCTCGAGCCCGCGGGAAAGGAGCGGTCTAGACAACGCACGCGCGCTGGTGCTGGCGGTCGGCGACGTTCGTCAGCAGAGCGACGAGACGAACCAGCAACGCGTTGAGCGACAGCCAGCCATCCAGGACGGGGTCTAGTAAGTGTACGCGGCCAGGAGTGGACTTCATCCTGCGCCCCCCGACGCGGTAACGTCGGCCCCGCCCTCTCATGGCGGCAGCGCTGCGCTCCCCGACCTTCTCGGGGCTGGTCGACGCGTCCTCGGGGGTGCCGGGCCACTGGGCGCAGAGCTTCGAGGCGCGGCCGGTGGCCGGCGGGGAACGGGGGAACAAGAAGTGGTCTTGCTCCGCAGAGCGCTGAGTACGATGCCGTCGTCCACGAACGGCATCAGCGCAGCGCGACCAGAGACGCGGGTCCAAGGGGCGCCCGACGTCGACGCTGCGAGAGCAGCTCGTCAAGCCCACCTCCAAGCTTGACGCGCCCTTGCCGCGGCGCACGGGAGGAGCCGGGACCTTGCGAGCTAGGGCGGATCTCAAGACCTCCGCTGGCGGGGCAGCCCCCCCTCACGCCAGCTCGCCCACCCCCCCGCCCCCCCCCCCCCCTGGCGGCGCAAGGCGCTCGCGACCGTCCGCCCCCCCGCCCGTGCCCTGGCAAAGGTGGGCCTGCAGCGTGCCGCGCGAACTAGCTGCTGCAGAGGGGCAGGGCGGACAGCGCCACCCAGCTTCTGTTCAACCCCCTCGACCATCTCGGCGGTGGCAACAGCGACGCTACAACGCGGGGCGGTCTCTCCAACTGCCTGGGAGGTGAAAGGGCGATCGTGGCGGCCGTTGTTCTCGAACAGGAGAGCGAAGCCGCCGTCGAGGTCATCGCCACTCTCGCACATCGGTTCTAGATCGGCATCCAGGGCGGCGACGCGGGCGGCCGCGGCCGCAGCTGCGGCGCGGGATGCCGACGCGGGCCCTCGCGGTTAGGCAGACGCGGAGGCCCAGCTTCTCACGCCACCATATTTGAGGTCAGTAGCGCTGCACCACCGACCTGCCCAGGGGGCCGCGTAGTCAGGCAGCGGGATTACTGGCGACATGTCCAGCTCTGCACGCTCGGGTTCGCAAATGCACCTCCGTCAGCGTCGACAGGTTCGGAATGGGGCGCGCCATGAGCTGCGCGAAGTCACTCGGGCAATGCTTCGCGCCACTCGCGCGCCTGCTCCGCGCGCTCGCACTGACAGCGGCTGCCAGGGTCTGCCGTCGCCTTGGGCGGGCTGCGCATCGGCAGCGCAGTCGGCAGAACCAGAGCCTGACGGTACCAGCGGCGGTGGCTGGACGTGAACTCGAGCACCAGGCCGCAATGCGTGCGCCAGAGGACGCCAAGCTCGGCGGCGACCTTGACACGCTCGCTGCACCCCGCCGCAGCGAGCACGCAGTCGCACATCCTGCCCTTCTTCTTGTCGCAAGTGGCCTTCAGGTCGCGGGGCGTGATGGTGTCGGCCCCGAAGCGCGGCAGCCAGTCGGCGCCGCCCCAGTTGCGCGGCCCCACGTTCCAGGTCGGCAACGACGACGAGCGGGTCGTTGATGAGCGACAGAAGGGCGGCCGTCGACGCAAGCCTCTGCTGGCTGGCCCCGCAAACGCGAAGTCCTGGAACCAGGCGGGCCAAAACTACGACATGTCCCCCTGCTGCCGATGCCAAAGCATCGGGGTAAAACCGGAAAAGGGCGGCTGCTGGCCTGCAGCAAGGCCGGCACGGCGATGCCCCTCGAACGTCGTGGTGGCCAGAGTCTTCTTGGCCGCCAGCATCTCGCCTCCTGTGAAACGACCGAGCGGCCCGACGGGATCGCAGGCGCGACTGCCACTTTCCTTCTGCACGTCGGCAAAGTGCCTCTCTGCAGCCGCGGGAGAGGCGCGGGTCCCGCAGAAGCCTGCGACGTCGCAGCTGGCGCCGCGGCCCACGAAGAACTGGCGGGCGGCGGGCCCGCGCTCCGTGATGCTACCGGAGAACATGCGGGCCCGAGCCTCTGGCCCCGCGCGGCGCGTGCCCCAGCGGCGGCGGCCGACATCGGCCGCAGCAGGGGCGGCAGCGCCATCACCCGCCAGAAGGCCCACCAACACGAGGGGCAGCCGCAGCAGCAGGTGCGGCCGCGGAGCTGCCCCCCGCCGCCACCCCTGGAGGCCTCGGCACTCCGCTGGAGGCGCTCTGTGGCGAGCTGAGCCCGGGCCAGCTCGCGGGCAGTGGCCTGCGGCCTGGGGTTGGCCGCGGTGGCAGGGGCCCGTCTGAGCTGTCGGCTGCAGGAGAGGCGCCCCCCATCGGCTCGTCCGCCCAAGGCGCGGGGGGGCAGCAGAGGCCGTGGCGGGGCTCGCCTCGGCAGGGCAGCTGGAGCAGCTGTGGCCGCCGCGGCCGCTGGCGGGGTCGCTGGGGCTGGTGACGGCGCCGCCTGCCCCAGCCTGCGTTTCTTGCGGGTCTCTTCGACGACCTGCTTCTTGCGCTCCAGAGATGGCAACCATGTCGTTGCGCGCGCGCTTGGCCCCCTCCGCCTGCGCCCCCGCCAACGCCGCCTTGGCAGCCTCCTCCTCCTCGACGCCCCCCAGGTCGTCGAGGTCCACGCTCTCCCAAACGATGGACTTGGCCGACGGAGCACGCGCGGAGGAGAGCGGCGGCAACTGCTCCTGCATGGCCTGCCGCTTCTCCTCGCGCGCAGCGGCCGCGGCCAGGCACGCGCGCTCCAACTCGGCGCTGGAGGCGGCCAACTGTTGCTCCAGGTCGCAGTGCTGGCGACGGTGCCACCCCACGTTCTTGACGGCATGGTCCTCGCGGCTGGTGGCTGACTGCGGTCGCTGCGAGAGAGTGGGCGCAGTTGGAGCAGGCGGCTTCGTCTCGATGGCCGCCGCCGCCGCCTCCCGCAGGGCCAGGTACTTGTCGTCGTCCACATCAACGCCCTTGACGAGAGACATGATGGTGTCGGTGATGCTGCGCACTGGGGGTGAGGACCGCCATGGAGGGGTCGAAGGCCACTTGCCTCCCGCACGGCCGCCACTCTTGGCCCCTTTTCCCGCCTTTGCTGCTGTCACCGACGGAGCCATGAGACGCCCAGACGCCAGCAGGCGGTCGAGCGGCGACGACACGAGGCTGCAGCTGGGCTTGGCATGAATAGCAGACCGTGTTCTTGGCGAAGTCCCTCACTTGTAGCCGCACGCCCTGCAGTGCACGAACTGCTGCCCCCGCGAGCGCCGATCTCGCTGGCCCTTGCCCATGGCTGGATGGGACGGAGCGAGGGAGCTCGAGCCGTCGCCGCGCTGGCGACAACGGGGTGCGACTCTCCCGAACCGAAAACCAGGCTGAACAGCCTTGACTGCCACGGACTAGCGGTATCCACGTGCTCCCCTGTGGCACAAAGCATCTTGAGCCAAAACGGCTACGGAGGAGGACGAGGAGGAGGAGGAGCAGGAGGAGGACGAGGACGAGGACGAGGAGGAGGAGGAGGAGGAGGAAAGTCCTGGGGAGATAGCCAGGGAGGCCACCGCGGAGGCATCCGAAGGCCTGGAGGTCTAAACAGGGCCACAAACGCGCAGACAAATGGATCACCATACTCTCAACGTCCTCGTCCCCCTCCTCCCACTCCTCCTCCTTATTCGTCTCCTTCTTATGATTAGTATTAGTAGTACTCCTCCTCCAACTCCTCCTCCTCCGCCTCCTCCTCCTCATCCTTCTCCTCCTCCTCCTCCTCCTCCTCCTCCTCCTCCTGATCATGCACATCATCAGCAGCAGCACCAGCAGCAGCATCATCATCATCATCATCATCATCATCAGCAGCAGCAGCAGCAGCATCATCATCATCAGCATCATCATCATCAGCATCAGCATCAGCATCGCCTTCTGTGTCAAGATGTGGCTATACATTGGCATACCCCTAACCTTAACGACCAGATGGCTGAACCTGTGCAGCAGCATCATCATCATCAGCATCATCATCATCATCATCATCAGCATCATCATCATCATCATCACCACCATCATCATCATCATCATCAGCATCAGCATCAGCATCGTCATCATAATCATCATCATCAGCAGCAGCATCATCATCATCATAATCATCATCAGTATCATCCTCATCCTCCTCCTCCTTTTCCTCCTCCTCCTCATTCTCCTACTCCGCATCATGTTCCTTCTCCTCCTCCTCATCATCATCATCATCATCATCGTCACCATCACCACGACCATCACCACCACCATCATCATCATCAGCATCATCAGCATCATCATCATCAGCAGCAGCAGCATCATCCTTATTGCCCGCATCGTCCTCGTCGCAATCACCATCAGTAGCAACATCATCATGATCAGCATCAGCATCATCATCAACAACATCATCATAATCATCATCAACATCGTCGTCGTCATCACCATCGTTATCATCATCAGCACCGGCATCCATCCGCATCATCATCATCATCATCATCGTCGTCGCCATCGTCGTCAACCTCATCATCGCCCTCATCCCCATTCCAATCCCCCCCGTCCACCATTCGTCACCATCAGCATCATCATCAGCAGCATCAGCATCATCAGCATCGACATCATCATTATCAGCATCAGCATCGCCTTCTGTGTCAAGATGTGGCTATACATTGACATACCCCTAACCTTAACGACCAGATGGCTGAACCTGTGCAGCAGATTCTTCACGGATGGTGGGCGAGTCGTGTTCAACATGGGACTCTCGCTGTAGAGCTCCTCGAATCGAGTTACCAGACAGACGTGTAGCATTGCGCAGCAGTTGCACGGGTGTGGGGGCGGTTCCGTTCGCAAAGCAGGGCACGTACTGGACACATCGCCAAAATATGCGATCAAGTCGCTGGAAGGACGCAAGGAGGATCCCTGTCACTACGAGGCTCCCCCCTCAATGGCAGGCACATCGAATGCTTGTCGTTTAAGGCCGCGCATCGTGTCGTGAAACGGAAGGCTTCTACGGGCGCATGGGGAGGGGACGTGGGACGGACGAGTGTGTTGCAGCACCGTTGGTGCATCGTGTGTTTGCTCCCCTCCTCCCCCTCCTCCTCCTCCTCCTCCTCCTCCTCCTTCTCCTCCTCCTCCTCCTCCTTCTCCTCCTCCTCCACTTGGACAGATATTTGGTTCCCGCACTCTCGTAGTTAAGCGCGTACGTAAGGTTGGAAACACTTGTGTCCACTGGATTGAAAGCCACAGCGATCTTCTAGAAGCCGAAGCCGCCATCCGACGTCAAGACGATCTTGAATTAGAACGAGCATTGGCACATCGAGGCTATCGTCGTACGAAAGTATTCCGTAATGTTCGACGGCCAGATATTGGTGAGATGATTGCAGGTGTTTGGCACTGTGGAGGACGAGGTGAACCGTTTCAGCCACCAATACCACCGTTGGTTCAAGCGAGCGTGTCTCGAGCTCCTCGTTTACCTTCAGGATCGGTCCACGCAGACTGTCACCGAGCTTACTTTCTTTTTACTGACCACAGATTTGCAGGAGATATACCAAGTTGGTTCGAAGCCCTGAACGCAGAGGCTACGACCTTGATCATCAAGCCTTCACACAGTGACAATCCTGATGGCTCACCGTCTGGATTTACGTTTGACGACTTGGTTGTGGACCAAGTGATCGATGAAATCATGATTGAAAAGGTCACGTGCTTTATGGCAACTCCTGCTTTGGCTACGTGGAGGCATTCGACTGCTGACATACTGACCAGGCGTGAGCAACAGCTGCTTCAGGCTCGACGTGGTCAAGTGCGACGAGCGAGGGAGCAGGTTATCAGATGAGTGCAACACCCCTGGTATGTGCCTGGGATACCGCATCATATTGGTACTAGAGTTTTGAGCGACAACGTGCAGATGCGAGGGTTACTCCGCATACTAGCTGCAGCAGATCAGGCAGGAGTTCCAGCAATCATGATGGCACCCACCACTCAGCTTGAGATGGCGGCTGCAGTACTACCTGAGCTGGATCATTTTATCCAATCACGACGTTTTGTGCTGCATCAAGTACCCCAGGCATGCATCACTGGGGGAATTGAGCAGTCAGTTTTTGCAGTCCAATGTTCAGTTGATTTCGACGTCAGGTTCACTCAGAGTCCACCCGCTGGGAGGCCATCGCCGCCGACACCGTGGACACTTGAGTTGGCAGCCGCTGTAGCGACAGCCCTGATGGCTCCCAGCATCGCGGTCACGGCTGCTGGCCGTGTTTAAAGACAAAGGAAGGTCTCTGGAGGTGATTCGAGGATAGGTAGGAGGAGTGCAGGCAGCTCACCTTCTCTTCCACTCTGCCCTTCGTCGTGCCGCTTCCGAGCTCTCTCGCCATGCGGTGCGCGCTCGGCTTAGGCGGGGGGCGGTGCGGAGGCGGAGCGACTGAGCCTGGCGGAAGGGGCTCCCCTCGCGCCCGCCCCCCAACCGCCCTTCAGCCTCGCCCGCCTCGACCTCACCATCGTCCTTCGTCCCCGTCTTTCTCGCCTTCCTGGCTCCCGCACGGCCCGTAGCACGAGCTCGAGCAGGAGGCCCCTGCTGACCGTCGTGCTCCCCGAGGGCACGGCGGTGGGCGTGAGCGTCCTGAGGAGGAGGGCCAGGCGACGGAGCCCGACGTCCTCCTGGGCAGCGGCCCGGGGTCCAAGTTCTGCTCTTACTCACCCTCGGAGGCCACCCTGTCCCCCCCTCGAGGACCTGGCCGCTGCCCCGCTGTTGTCCTGTCTGCTTCGACCCCTTCGTTGGGATCGAGACACGTCCTGGTGCTGAAGGGGGTCTTTATGTTTTGATTGTGATTGATCGGTGGGGGCTGCGTTGGGAGATTTTCAGCCCAGGACGTGTGTGCTGCTGCTGTTTCTCGTCTCCTCGACCCCTGCCTGTATTTCTATGGCTTTGTAGGGGGCCGAGGAGGCGGCCGTCCTTGTGCAGCGCGGGCGTGCGCGGCTCTCGGCCAACCCGCCCGCGCCCTGACGCCACGAGCGGGTGTGCGCTCGGCGGCCTGGCTAAGAAAAGGAGGAGGAGGAGGAGAACCAGCCCCACGCACGCACTGCGCCTGCCCACGCGCCCGCACGCTGCTGCCCGAGGGTCCGCGCCTGGGCATGCGGGAGCCCACGGCCTTGTCGGACTCCTCGTCCTGGGCGAGGCGGCCAAGCCGTTGCGGCGGGGAGGCACGCGACTCGCAGGACCCTCTGCCGGGGCCCACCCCGGCTCTCGCGGCCGCGGTCGACACGGACCGGGAGGCCCCAGGCTCGTGAGAGAAAAAAAAAAAAAAAAAAAAAAGGCGGCAGCTGGAGAGACACTCGGACCCGCACTCCCTGCCTCAACAGTTCCGTCCCCCCCCCTCCACGCATTCAGCCTCCCCTCCTCTCCCTCCCTCCTCGCAGCGCTGCTGCCGTGCGAAGCATTCACTCACTCGCGGCCCGTCGCTGGTCGCGTCCCCTGGGCTGGACGCACCGGTCGCCAAGGGGCACCTCACTCGCTTCTCAAGCCCCGTTTGCACGCCCACTCGATTCTGCGGCGGGACCCCGCTGCGGCGACGAGGCGTCCCCCAGGAGGCCCAGGCAGACTACAACGAAGGAAGGGCATCGGTGTCGGTGGTTATTGGTGTGCTCGTCCGCAGCTAGCTCCGTTCAGACTCTGTCCCTGGACCCATTCCGGGGTTCCGTCCTGGCTGGCTTTCGTCCTGGATCGATTTCTGACGGCACCTGGGCCCGAAAACTCCTTAGAGACGCCGCAGGTCAGCGTTCTCTTGTTCGGCGATTCGACATTGAGCGGAAGGGGGGGGAGGGGGGGGGTCTGGCTCCAGACCTCTGCTCAGCGCGACTGTTTGCAACAGTGCGTCCCGTGGGGGACACTCCACCTGCTTGAAACAGGCGCCAAAAACAGCCAAGATCTACTCCAAGGGGGGGGGGGAAGGGAGGGGTGCGAGGGCCCGCGCAGATCGGCAAGACAATGAATCTGAGTGAGAAAACGACGAGAAGACGGCATCGGTGCGCGGTTGTCCTCCGAGCCCTGCGCACCGCGCACAGGCCCAGGCCGCCCGCTCCCTCGGCGAGAACCGCGCACGCGCGAGAGAGTGGCCTTTGGGGTCCCGAAACGGTGCGGTGACGGACCGCGCGGTGACCTCGAAATCCCCCAAGACCTCACCGCACGGTCCGTCACCGCACGGTCTTGGGACCCCGGAGCCCCCTGTCGCCCGAGACGTCCTCGGAGAACGACCCGAGTCCCAAAACCGTGCGGTGACCCCGAATCCCCACCGACTCACCGCACGGTGTGGTCACCACCCCGTTTGGGGCCTCCCGATGGCCGGTGAAGAGAGCATTGCTCCCAAGGCGTGCGCGTGGTCTCTGCCAGTCGCTGTGCCCGCGAGGCGGCAGCAGCGGCCCCCTGCGCGCCTGGCTTGGCGGGTGCTGCCGGAAGTGCCCCTGGCCTACGGTACCCCCAGGATTCGTAATAAAGGGAGGGGGATCTCATTTCGGGGGGGGCGCTCGACACGGGCAGGAGGAGGAGGGGGAGGGGGAGGGGGAGGAGGAGGAGGAGGAGGAGGAGGAGGAAGCGGAGGAGGAGGAAGCGGAGGAGGAGGAGGAGGCGAAGGGAGTTGGCACCCCACCGCTCTGCTCAAAACGAGACCCCTAACCCAGACATGGATCAAGGGCGCTCGACATGGGTACTCCAGATTTCGTAAGAAAGGGAGGGGGGTCTCATTTCGGGGGGGGGTCTCTTCCAGGCTATCTTGGAGGGCCTCGGGGGGGTCGGGGGACGACGCTTTGGAGGGTTCTCCCACTGGGGAGGTCCGAAATGGCGTGTCCTGGAGGGTCCGGACCCCCTCCCTTTCATTACGAAATCTGGAGTACCCCCAGGATTCTCGGGGTGGCCCAGACAGCCTCCAGAGCACCCCTCACGTTCGGTGGCAACTCATGGGAGCCTCCCATACCGTCGTGTCGGCTCTTGCGAGTCGGCGCTGATCTACGCTAGTCGACGCTCATCGGCGCTAAATCGACGCTAATCGACGCAAACCGACGCTGAATGGGCGCTATCTCATCGACTCCCAGACGCTAATCGACGCTAAATCGACGCTAGAGACGGAATTGCGAGGGTAGACCAGGCTCCCATGATGTGCACCGAACTCACGAGGCCCAGAGGGCCCCGGAGGCTCCAGAGTGGAGCGAGCAGCTGGGGGCACCCTGGGCCAGGGGCGCTTCCAGCAACGCCCGACACTTGGGTGTGGTACCCACCCACCCCGCGCGCCGGGGTCGGGGATGTGCTCACCCTGGGTCAGCACTGGCTCGGGCCAGCCAGGGTCATGTTTTGCGAGGCGGGGATCTATTCATGTCCACCGCCTGGGGACCGACGCCCTCGTGCCCCAGCGGCCAGTGGATACGGATGTAGTTTAGCCCCCCCGGGGCCCGAATATGTCCATATCCACCGCCTGTGGAGGTCCGCGAAGATGGACCCCCCAGGCGGCGGTTATGGGTAAATCGCCGCCTGGGATGCTTGGCGGCGCGCCCAAGGAAGTGGGGGGACGGGGGAGGGGCTTCTCGGAAGGAGGCCGCTTCTCAGAAGGCGCGGGCCTCACGCCTACAGACGAGGCCCGCGCCTTCTGTGAAGCAGAGGTGTGCTTCTGCGAAGCCCCCCCCCCTGCCCACGCTCTGCGCGTGGCCGAGGTGTCGCCGATCCCAGCGGCATGGCAGCTCCGAAGCCATCCTCTTCCTCCTCCTCCTCCTCCTCCTCCTCCTCCTCCTCC